TATATGAGTCTTGTGATTTTATTTATAAAGTTATTTCTGTTTAGACCAATTGTCAAATGTTTTATAACCGTAAGTGTTTCTACTTAAACGTTATACAATGTAGATCGATTATCTACATTTAAATCAGAGTTATAAATAATATAATATCAAAGGACCGAATTAATTTCTACGCTTAATAATTATTGTTTGTGCAATAATTTTGTTGTTGCATAATTTTCAAGAGTGCAGAGATAAAAAGTTAGCCWTCATCTCGAACGAGTCCTATCCTATTTATAGGATTCGTGAAAAAAATTGAAACGTTGAATTGACTGGACCGGAATACAAAATTCGGGTTTTTTGTTCTTTTTTAGTGTTTAGGTTAATTTCCTCACGAATCATATTATTCAGCATGAAAGTAAGTTACTCTTAACATAAATAAATTGTTTGTATGTTTGTTTCAAATTAATTTTTACCTCTTCCTCGAGTTCTTCGATTCTAGCTTGGAGTTCCTTGATCTGTTTCTGAAGTTTTCCTACTAACGATTGTTCATCTTCCAATTTGGCAGTAAGCGATGAGAGTTCCTTGTCTTTGCGTTGAATCGTTTGTTCCAGTTCCTTCTTGTTCCTTTCCAAATCGGCTACGGCTTCTTGGGTCAATTTCAAATCACCTTCTACCTTCCTCTTTGCCTTTTCAACGTCAGCGCTAAACGAATTAATAGAAAACAAAAACAAAAAAAACAATTAACGAAAGATAAAAAAAAGCTCGTTCGTGTAATTAAACAAAACAAAAAAATCAATCTCAAATGGGTCTAAACAAATCTCTTACCGAGATTTCTTTTCACGTTCCAAGGAATCCTCAAGCTCGTCTAAAGTTTGTTCGAGCTTGATCTTAACTTTGTTCAGGTGATTGACCTTGTCTTCGGCAGCTTGAAGTTCCTCAGCCGTTTTCTGATTGATCTCACCCTGGTTCTTCTTCTCCTTGTTCAATTTATTGATTAATTCGTCTTGATGAGCAATCTCGTCGTTCAAATTACGAATTTGATGATCTTTCGTGGCTTTGTCCTGTTCGGATTTTTGAAGATTCAATTCGAGATCTTCAATGTCTTTCTTCAAACCAGCAACCTCTTGCTCGAGTTTCTTCTTATTTTGGAATAGATTGTTCCTAGCGTCTTCCTCTTCCTTGAACCTGTCGTTGAGATCCTATGAAATAATACAAACAAATACAATTAGAACAAATACGTAATGACAGATATTTGAATTATTTCAAATGACGCATTATTAATCATTTATTCGTTCGATTCAATTCTATTTCCCGATCTTTCATTCTAATCCTCGAACAATACAAATGGAATTTGTATTTAAATTGTACATAGCCAAATGTTTCTACAAATATTTTTTGTTTCGTAATTTTTCTCACAAAAAAAAAAAAAAAATAAACTGTTATTCGACTGTATCCATCATCTATGGTATAGATGAATCATTATAATATTATATTTTATAACCGATACAAATTATTCACGTAAAATTGTCTTGAACAAAAAAATCAACAAAAAAAAAAACAAACAAACAAACAAATCGTACGAGAAAAATATTTGTAATAAAACGTGAAAATTTTATATAACTCGTAACGAATTGAATTATATATGAGAGAATGAGTCTACTGTATTAATTCTACAAAAGTTTATTGTGTTCACTCTGATGCTAAGATTACGTCAAGATTGGCCTTAAATAATGCTAATTATTTCATTTGATTCATCATCATCATAATAATAATCAATGAGCCAGGTACCACCACTACTATGCCTTGTGACATATGATGAGTTACCTAAAGTTATGTAACGGGGTTAGAATTAATCGGTAGGAGACAGAAATTCTAGAGAAATAGAAGAAGAAGAAGAAGAAGTAGATTTATTTTGGCATCATCTATCGTCATCATACATCATACTGCAACTTAGTACGAAGTGATGATTTCGTAGTTTAGATGGAGTATGATGCCAAGTTGAGTTTTCGGTTTAGACAAGAAAACCAATAAAAATCTTCATAACCGGTGTGAGAAATAAGAAGAAGAAGAAGAAGAAGAAGATGATATGAAAGGGGATCAACGATGATGACGAGGATAACGATGATGAAGATGACTTGGTAAATGACGCATACATTTACACACCTAACCCGAAAGTATAAATACCCTACACCTGTTATCCTCCTCCTTCCTAAGTTTTCTCATCTCTTCCAGCACGTAACTCTGCCACGCCCTCTTTTAATAACCTGGAATCTGGGATCGTTGGGATCTAAATTTGGAACGGGAGGAAGTCAGAAAGCAAAATACTCTTTCGGAAAGAAAGAGAGAGTGAGAGGGGGACCTGGAGGGGGAGCAAATTCTCGACCCCCCCTGCCCCCACTTCTTCCTTTACCACCTACTTCTTCTTCTTCTTCCTATATTTCTCTCATTTCTCCCTCTTTCTCCCGTTTTCCTTCCTCCTGCCCGTAAATGGAGTCACTTATATTTTCAGCACCGAAACATTACTGAACTCTCCATCTTTCTCTCTTTCACACTTTCAATCTCTCAATAATCCCATTAAGTAAATGTTGATTTTACTACTTGTACTATTACTATACTCTTTTTTATTATATCGCGAATAATAATTGTCAATTCGATAATAATAATTAAATCGAATTCGTTTAATTTATATTTAAGATTGAGGTTATGTAACACAGTCTTTATTATAATTTAATAATAATCGAGAACACGATACTTAAGATCGTTTGATAAGTATTATTATTATTATAATTTGATTATCGCGATTAATAATTAAATCGAATTCGTTTAATTTATATTTAAGATT